AAGGCATAAATGGAGGCTAATACAGAGAGGAAAATGAAATACGAGAACATGACGGCTCTAAAGACCATTCCGACCTTTGTGCGGAATGGCAGACAAGTATGGAAGACGTGTGTTTGTGGTCGCACCTCCTGGTGTTCGTGTGGGGGATCTATCACCAGCCACAAGACGGTGAGGATAACCTCGACCATGTTGAGTAGGGAGACGACAAGGAATTGACGTTTGCGGTCCACGACGTAGCGCTTGAACCAGTTTGGGATAACTTTCGCTTGGAATGCTTGCACCAGACGGTTTGTCTTGAGGAACAAGACTGATACACACGCGGTGTTGACGAAGTATCTCCATGGATACACGATGCAACAAAGAACCGTACTGGGTTGTGCGAGATGAAGCAAAGTCAACACGAAACACAAAGCGATGGCGAACAACAAGAAGAAGCTCAGTTCTCGATTGGAAGCCTTCACCAATGGGGTATTGCGGTTCTTCAGGAAAATAGTGAAAGTCACGCACGTCCCAAATAGGCCAATCGTTGTTAGAAACGTGAATATCACCGCTGAAGTGTCGCTCCATCTAATGTTAATAACCGGTAAGGGAAGACATGCCGTACTTTCTTCGTTTGACATGTGTTCCTCTGGACATTGGGAGCAGTTTTGGGAGCTATACTCCGTGCTGATGCTACCGACTGGACATTTTATGCACTCCCAGCAGCAAGATATAGTCCCAGTTTGCTTAGTTCCTGGACGACAGCTTCGGCTGCATACAGACACGGGTTTCTCGGTGTCTTCCGGGTCACTCCACTTGATTAGTGTGCTGTTTATTGTGAGTTTATTACGTTTCCTTCCGATCCATGTTCCCACTTCAACAGTTGCGTAGCGATAGCCTCGTTTCTGAAGGTTCACGATGTCGTACGAAGAAGAGAAAGGATCGCCGGTTTTGGTGAACTGTATCCGTCCCGTGATTCCATCAAATGAAACATTCCTGAGATACACAACGATGTCTTCAGGTTTGATTATAGAGTGTGTGCTTGGACATTTTCCATTCTCTAACAGCCCACTTGCCTCTTTACACTTGTACATTGAATCTATGGCATGGGCTAGTGCGTACACAGCGTCGGTTACATAAGGACAATAGGCAGTGTGTATTTGAGAAAAGGCCCGCTGATCTACCTTTGTATCACCTCTACACTCGTCTGTTGAACCAGTTTTCCACGAACAGTTAAGGTGGTTTGTCCAAAACTCTTCCCACCATGGGTTAGCACTAGATCTGGTATCATTTACTGTTATTCCTCTGAGATGCTTCTCTAGTGGCTCATCTGCAAAAAAATATGGCTGTATTGCCAAAGCTCCCTTGAGGATGGCAGAGTTTTCTTCCAGGACCTCTTCTGAAACTGCTATGGACTCGCTAATGAGGAACGTTCGACCTTCCAATCCTTGTGAGGTCGCTTCTGCTAAAAACCGTTTGGCCGCCTCGTAGTTGCTCCATAAGACGACCACTTTGATGTTTTCGGCCGCTTTGAGCGTCCTCACGATCGTTTTTATTTTCCGTTTGTCGCTGGAATACGTAAAGTACTCGGAAAACGCGACGCAAAACGTCCTGCGGTCGTACGCTTCTCTCTCTAAAGCGCGTAACCCATATCGACCGTACGAATTGTCGATAGCGACGGCTGCGATGTACGTCCACCCGTAATGTTCTATAATATCCACCATGGCTTTTGCCTGC